CACAAGTTGAGGTAAACTTATGATATGAAAAGGAAGAAGCTATTTAAGTATATAGATATTAAGTCAAAGCGGATCCTGACTCCAGAAGACTTTCGAAATGTCCATAGTATGCTTGACAGAAAATCACCTGGGAAATCTGGCTCAATAAAAAACGACATGCCACTTAATCTTTTTGGTTTGAGATAATAAGACAGCGTAAGCTAAAGCCAACGTGCCCAGTTGAAGTGGTTGCCGGAGTGACAAAATCTACTGATCAACACGACGATAGGAATAGATTAGGGAATTTATCCTTGCTTCCACTTGATCCCGAAACCGGCACGAACCTGAAGAAAAAGGCAACTTTTTCCTTCAGAATTACGGAAGTCTTTTATAAGACATCCTCACGGAGGACAACAAGATCGCTGACGAGTACCCTGAGAAGACAAAATTGTAAATGGGGATGAAAAGTATTGAAAGGATCTGAAAACATCCGGAATCAACACACATTAACAGATTTGCGAGTGTACGCAATACTCTAGAAATTAATGAATAATTAATCTTTCAAGCGAATAAAGGAGGAGCGACAGTATATGGTTCAAAATACATTATACCGAGAAGATGGGATGTCTACTATGAAACAGAACTGCATATCGTGCACGAAAGAATGGTCCAACTAGGAAGACCGATTGAACCTTACGTGACATGGACTTGACGCATGAACAAAAAATTCAATCGTAAGAATGGATGCTCGACTACCAACAGCCTAAGGATTACTGAAGATACACAAAGAATGCAATACACAAATATGCAAAGTTCATAAGTCTGAAACTTAAGAAGGTAAACGATAGATTATAAAACACATTCAAACATTCATGCGAATCTTTTCAATGGATCAAAAACATAGCATTGAAATAAACAGAATTATTGGTAAGTTTTAATGTACAATACATGTCTCCAAACATCTCTAGAGAGAATGTGTTAACGGCCCTGCTGGAAAACTTGGACCGAGAAGAGGATATTCTGGAAGCTGGAAGGATCATGGGGAAGTCTAATAAATTTAAAAATAAGGACAACGAATTACACATTCAACGGGAACTTCTATGAACAAATATTTGGACTTCTCATGGGATCGCCGCCCTCACCACTCCTGACAAACGTATAAGTGAAGAAATTAGAAGAGAATTTCAACATATCACTGTAGCATGAAAGAGAAAGACTGAAAGATTGTCTGAAATGTATAAGTCAGATTGATGAAACAATCAAATTCACAATACAAATTAGCGGAGAGGATGTTTAAGTCATTCGATCAGGAACTGATTGTTCAAAGAGAACTCATATGCCGGAATTACACTCAATTTCCAGTTCCATCACAACTACATGCTAAGGAAAGAGATAATGAGCATGATCACCAAAAGCCTACGGTTAAAGGTCGTGGAATCATGGGATGAATATTTGGACAAATTAACTCGGCTATAACTCAGCAACGGTAACCCAAGCGAAGTAATACAAAGAAGCATACGGGCGATGAAAAACCGGTGGCAGGACGAAGATTAGTGAAGAACAGTAAGGGTGGAGAAAGGTTCATAAGAGCGGATATGCCTCTCCTTCTGCAAACTAGCTAAAAACTCGGCTAATATGAAAAAATGGAATGTTCAGGTGATCACGAAGTAAAAAACAGCACTCTTCACAAGTCTGCCCACGCAACATGAGAGAGTGGACAAATGTGATTGTTTTGTAGTTTATTGAATAGCATGTGGGGTCTGCAAACAGGAATGTATTGGTGAAACAGCGAGAAAAATCACCACATGAACCAAGAACCATAAAGGGCTGTGCAGGAAAATGGATACCGAAATAAAAGGATATGACGAAACACATCACACTGACTTGGTAGGCAAAAGAAATAAGGGCCTTATACAGTGGCAGCACAAATAAACGGAATATTGTGGAGGCTATTGACATACGTAGAGAAAAAATGTGGTGAACATGAGATTGGGGGAAGGCAGAGCTAGCGATAACTTTGCCTATTGCCGGATAAAACTTGGAGAAAACAATAATAGTATAAAGTAGGCATAAAGGAGACCCCTGGATCAAGTATTTATCATTTACCAGAAGTAAATGGATCGCGGGGAGGTAACGTGTTAGGAAGTTTCATAAATCAAGTCAATACTTTCAGGGTGAGTCAGTTTTGTAGTCTGTGCGAAGAAGCAACTACAACTTCGGAGGCTTCAAAGTTTGGCCAAGGGATTTACTTCACTCTTCTCTTTGACGAAGTGTAGCTTGGTGCTGATGCCCGCGAGACTTACTGAAGCTACCGACTACGATTCCGGCGAAGCATCCGAAAATGTACAAAGTTCAAGGTCCGACGCTGGGAATTGAGCAAATGATTATAGCAGAGGACTTTGGATAAGGTACGTTCAAATAATCACCATGACAATAGGACCAAGTTGCAAAAACGAGCCTAGTCCACTTCTAAGCATTGAAAGAAGACTGAGATCATACCAAGGGCCACATAATCTTGGTATTAATATCTAGAATAAACACAGTTCTTATGTCAATAACCTTAGCCAGCAAGTCACGATTTACATCTTCGGACCACCTTTAACACACACGAAGACCAAACCCATTCGGGAAGATTTTATCCTGTACTTGACATTAAAGGCTGACAATTAAATTTTATTTTAGTAAGCAATACATCAAAGAGCACCTATGGATGATATCTGGTGATTTACATTTCACTATACTGTACATTTATTTTCAAGTATGAGCTGAGACTATAGTGATAGGATATTTGTTGTCTGTATTCAAACACTATTGCCACTAGGCGACACAGGTCTAAGATACTTGAATAAGGAAGTAGTATTCACCCTATTTCGTTTAAGCTGATGAAAGACTGATAATTGAATTTTCCCACAATGCTTTTAGAAGGCCTTATATTTCCATTGAGTTTCACACAGTCTTGCTTCTCAACAGATATTCTAATCCAGGTTGAAATGTACTGCAGTTTCGACCTCGATTAGGTCTTCTCAGCACCCTCAGTGGGACTCGAACCCGAATTGTGGTTTGGCTGTATATAGTCACGACACGTTAGCCGCTAAGCCAGACTGCCACATTTGCCCTTAGGTTTCAGGACAGATGCGAATTTCAGGAAGGCCACACCTCTCTAAGAATATTTGTATTTGCTATTATAATATTACACTACTTAAGATAAAAATAAGTAGTGTTATCGAATTTAGTAGAAGAGCCTTGTTTTATAAGCGATCCCATCATAGAAAGAGTGATGTAAGAAAGGCCTAGGCGTCCTAGAAATTCACTTTTGCCCTATGACCCATGGCCACCCATGGCAACACGAGGAAATGGTAAGCGTTTCCAAACTTTCTACCGAACGGCCAAAAGCCCCGTTCTAGTCCCGCTGGGGGTGCTAATTAGACCTATTCTTAGTATTGTGAGAAAATTCAACTACAAGTCATTTATTACCTTAACCTAAATAATGTGAACAGATTTCTCATTAAAAATATTCCGTTAGGCTCGAAACCCTACTTAAAAAGTTAAATAATATAATTGAGTAAGAGGGCAATTGTGAAAGTCAGGAGGCAATTTACTTTTGCAACTAAGCCTCGTTTCGACAACCATAACTTTTCATACTAGCAAATCTTGCACATTAAATTTATCCTTATTACATATTATTAATCAGATAACGAGAGAGATACAACCTATTTTTCATTTTTCGTAGGTTTTCGAGGGCACTCCTTCGTCGCCTCAGACGAAATGGGGTGAATACATTTTATGGATACACCATAGCCTATCAACGCATGCATGTTTTGGCCCCACTTCTCCAACAATGTAGATAAGGATAAATTAGCAGTCCTAGATTAAGGAGAAAATGTGGATTTGACGGAACAAGAAAAGCTAATGATAGAAGCAAATCTTACAATTATTCATGTAATAGTGGCTTAACCCTCAAAGATAGTCTTTATTAAACCAAGTAATGCTGATTTAAGGTTGTGTTACTGATAAAGGTAAAAGTAGTCTGTATAACTACTATTTATTCTGGAAAGATCAGACTTTAGACCTGTTGTCTCTAAGCAAAGTATGCTTTTTGCAATTTAACGATGCTTTAATAATGTTTTATTTTCTGATGAACGTCGCGTTTTCAATTGTATTCAATTATTTATTTAAAGCGATGCCACTAATACGGTTGGTAGTAGTTCCAATTATATTTTGTCTTAATTTTTATCGTTCCAGTGTGTGCAAAGGGGTTTCGCTTTTCGAGAAACTGCATACGATGCGCAATAGGACCCATCAGTGCTTCAAGTTGAACGTTCTTCGTCAAGTGTCTCAGGCTGTCGGCTATCTTCACTCACGAAGCAAACCGATTGTTGTGCGCCGCCTGAACAGCCGAAACATCTTTCTCGAGCCGAGAGTGATCCTCTGCCTGTTGGACTACAGCTATCAGGACTGCGAATATGAAATGTAAGCTGGTCTGAGACTTTTGTGGTGATTTAATAGTGCATATTAATCTGGGTTTTTCTCTATTCGGTCAGCCCAGTAGGAGGTATGGACGAGGTGAATATTAACAAAGTCGATTTGTGAAATCTTCTTTCAACTCATTTCCTTTTCTCTCTCATCATTTGCTGCTTTCTTCCCCCTCGACACCAAGGCTGGGCGTCGTTGCTATCCCCAACTACCTGGTACGATACACTGCTCCTGAGCTCTTCCTCGCTTCCCCGCGACCATCGCCCTCAGGACCCTCCACCAAATTCGACCCGACCAAAACGGCTTCGACGGATCCGGATGTGGTCTTGCCAACAGACGGTGGCCTGAATGCGGCCAGACTTGCCGGTGAGGTGGGCTACAGCCGAGCTGGCCACGAATCCTTCGAGAGTCCTGCGGAGGTGGCCGAGAAGACCGGCTCAAAGAAGGTGTGTGGGTCGCGAAGGCCAGTTACGCTGTTGCCTGAGCATTGTCACCTCAACCAGCCTCGAGGCTTTTATGTTAGTGAAGCGGAAAGGACGAATGCAGCCGGACACTTTGCGAGCCGTGCTTATCTGAAGAGAGAGACAGTTAAGACGAGGTCTGACAAAATTGGCGTGTATGATACCAAAGTTCAGAAAGAGGTGGAGGCGACAGAGAGAAGCGGACATAAGAAAGAGGAAAAGGAGACAAGCGAGAGCCTTGACAGAAGTGAAGAATGCACGAAAGGCGCGAGAGAGCACGAGACAGAATATGCCATTGAGGGGGTTTCGACTGGCGAAAAGGATTTCGTGGGTGTAAAAGGCGACAGTGAAGAGTCGAACAGAGAATGTGATACAGAAAAGACATACAAGTCGGAATTCGAGGATATGGAAGAGGAGGAGGAGGAGGAAGTAGAAGAAGAGGAAGGAGAAGAAGAAGAAGAAGAGGCGATGGAGGAGATGGCCCACTCTTTAGCATCCTCCTCGCCCGTTTCGCGCACATCGTCACTCTCGTCGACCGGATCATGCACACCCTCCTCGTCCGCGGTCTTCTCGACGACTACGGCGTCTTCGGCCAACTGTTGTCCCTCACAGCTCACCTCGTATGCGTCGTCTCCGGCCGGGGGTTGGCCTTATTCGCCCCCTAAACTCGACCTTCCCAGCATTTTTAGTGAAAGGGTCGCCTGGCAGACGGCAACGGAGGCTCGTACGAGTTTTAACAGGCCGCGTGACCTGCCAACCGAAAGTGAGGAGGCCGATGGCGAAGTGTTCGAGGCCGAGGTGGAGGAGTCGGCGTTGGGCGTGGAAGAGGATGAGAAAGCTGATGATCATGACGACCAGTCGAGTTGCAGCAACCTCGGTTGCGGGGCGGTAGGCCTTCGAGTTCACTGTTGCTCGGACGTTGTGGAGCCCTGCGGGTCACGAGAGAGCAACAAGTCGGAGGCAACGAAGAAGCCGGACACCGAGGCCGACGTG